CGCTCTTCCCCAAGCCTAGAGCGTTGGTGGGGCCCAAGTGGTAGGTTTGGGGTTGAACCTCATCCCATTGACCTCATCCCATGGATCCAGCTCCCTGTGGAGCCCCTCCAGCAGCTCCATGTTCCCACTCAATCTGGTGTCATTTGGTTGCCCTCGATCCCCTCCTCTGGAGCATCAATGAAGACATGAAGCACTGGCCCCAATCCAAGCCCCATTAAATCCCCATCCCGAGCTCCATTGGATCCCCATCCCAAGCTCCACTGGATGACATGAGCCACAGGCTGAGCCCTATTGGATCCCAAACCCAAGCCCATTGGAACCCCGTCCTGAATCCCACTGGATTCCAATCCCAAACCCCACTGGATCCCAGTCCCGAGCCCCATGGGATCCCAGTCTTGAGCCCCATTGGATTTCAATCCTGAGCCCCATTGATCCCAATCTAAGCGCCACTGGATGATGTGAGCCATGGGCTGAACCCCATTGGATCCCAACCCCAAGCCCCATTGGATCCCCATTCCAATCCCCATTGGATACCCATTCCGATCCCCATTGGATCCACATTCTGATCCCCACTGGATCCCAATCCAGGCCCCACTGGATCCCAATCTGAAGCCCCATTGGATTCTCATTCCAATCCCCACTGGATCCCAATCCAGGCCCCATTGGATCCCAGTCCCTAGTCCCATTGGATCCTGATCCTGAGCCCCATCAGATCCCTATCCCGATCCCCACTGGATCCCAATCCAGGCCCCACTGGATCCCAATCTGAAGCCCCATTGGATTCTCATTCCAATCCCCACTGGATCCCAATCCAGGCCCCATTGGATCCCAGTCCCTAGTCCCATTGGATCCTGATCCTGAGCCCCATCAGATCCCTATCCCGATCCCCACTGGATCCCAATCCAGGCCCCATTGGATCCTAAGCCCAAACCCCATTGGATCCCAGTCCCAATCCCCATCGGATCCCCATCCTGAGCCCCATTGGATCCCAATCTAAGCACCATTGGATGATGTGAGCCATGGGCTGAGCCCCATTGGATCCCAATCCCAATCCCCATCGGATCCCCATCCCGATCCCCATCGGCTCCCAATCCCGAGCCACCGGTTGAGCCCCAATGGCTTCATTTTAATTAATAATCTCAAGAATCGATTAAAAACGAACCATTTGGACGGGTTTTGGTGTTAAATAAACAACAACAGGGAGTAAAAAACCAACGAATCAGGACCATGGAGAGCACCAACCACCCCCCCTCCAAGGGGAGGCGCTTGGCCCAGTGCAACAGTGCAGGAGGGAGGGAAAGGGGGGTCCCGGAGCCCCCCATGTCCCCCCTGCTTCGGGATGAACCGGGATGAGTGGGAAAGTGCCGGGAAGGGGCAATGGGAAGAGGGATGCCCCTGGGGGGGGAGGTAGTGGTGGCTCCGGGGCTCCTGGTGCAGCCTTTGGGGTCACATCTTGGGGGTGGAGGGAGCCCGGGGCTGGCTCGAGCGGTGCCGAAGGGGCTTCTCCTCCTCCTAGGGATAGATGGGAGGGCATAGGAATGGGGCCATGGTGCAGCACCCATGGGTGTCAGGCTGGCCCTGAGCCTGCAGGGACAGTGCAGGGAAACAGGGATGGGGCCATGGTGCAGCACCTGTGGGTGCCAGGCTGGCCCTGAGCCTGCATGGACATTGCGGGGACATGGGGATGGCAACACAGTGCAGCACCCTTGGGTGTCAGGCTGGCCCTGAGCCTGCATGGACATTGCGGGGACATGGGGATGGCAACACAGTGCAGCACCCCCGGGTGTCAGGCTGGCCCTCAGCCTGCATGGACATTGCGGGGACATGGGGATGGCAACACAGTGCAGCACCCTTGGGCGTCAGGCTGGCCCTGAGCCTGCATGGACATTGCGGGGACAGGGGGATGGCAACACAGTGCAGCACCCTTGGGTGTCAGGCTGGCCCTGAGCCTGCATGGACATTGCGGGGACATGGGGATGGCAACACAGTGCAGCACCCATGGGTGTCAGGCTGGCCCTGAGCCTGCATGGACATTGCGGGGACATAGAGATGGGGACACAGTGCAGCACCCACGGGTCCACAAGCCCATTTGGGAAGGTCTCTATGGCCACATACCCTCACGCACGGGGTCAGGGCACCCTTAGGACCCCCCCAGGGCAGGAGCACCCATTCTGAGGGCTCCCCACAGCACTCACAGCCTCCGGGGTGCCGGTGGGGGCTGGTTCCAAAGGGGCGGCCGCATCCTCCTCATCCTGTGGTGGCTCCAGTTCCTCATCCTCATAGTCTGTGATGTCGTCGGACTCCTCTGGGGGGGCACAAGGAGAGGGTCAGGATCGGGATCGGGATTGGGATCGGGATCGAGATTGGGATCAGGATGGGGATTGGAATTAGGATTGGGATCAGGATCAGGATGGGGATGGGGATCAGGATGGGGATCGGGATTGGGATCAGGATAGGGATCAGGATCAGGACTGGGATCAGGATTGGGATCAGGATTGGGACTGGGATCAAGATGGGAATCGGGATTGGGATTGGGATCAGGATAGGGATCGGGATCAGGACTGGGATCAGGATTGGGATCGGGATTGGGATCAGGATCGAGATTGGAATCAGGATTGCGATTGGGATCAGGATCGGGATTGGGATCAGGATTGGGATCACGATGGGGATCAGGATTGGGATCAGGATCGAGATTGGAATCAGGATTGCGATTGGGATCAGGATCGGGATTGGGATCAGGATAGGGATCAGGATGGGGATTGGGATCAGGATGGGGATCAGGATTTTGATCAGGATTGGGATTGGGATCAAGATCGGGATTGGAATCAGGATTGGGATTGGGATCAGGATGGGGACTGGGATCAGGATTGGGATCAGGACTGGGATCAGAATTGGGACTGGGATGGGGATCAGGATTGGGATTGGAATCAGGATTGGGATCAGGATTGGGATAGGGATCAGGATGGGGATCGCAATTGGGATTGGGATCGAGATCAGGATGGGGATTGGGATCAGGATTGGGATCAGGACTGGGATCAGGATGGGGATCGGGATGGGGATCAGGATGGGGATCAGGATTGGGATTGGAATCAGGATTGGGATCAGGATTGGGATAGGGATCAGGATGGGATCGCAATTGGGATTGGGATCGAGATCAGGATGGGGATTGGGATCAGGATTGGGATCAGAACTGGGATCAGGATGGGGATCGGGATGGGGATGGGAATGGGGATCAGGATGGGGATCAGGATTGGGATTGGAATCAGGATAGGGATCAGGATGGGGATCGGGATTGGGATCTGGATTGGGATCCGGATCCAGCCCATGGAGTCCCATTCCCAGCTCACCTTCAGCACAGGGCTGCGCCGGCTCGATGCGCGACACCATCTCAGCCAGGTCAATGAAGTGAGTCTTGAGCACCTACAGGGGGACAGAGGGACCCCAAAGAGCCCCCCACATGTGAGGGTGGAGGAGGGATGGGAGGACATCAAGGGACATGGGAGAGGGGGAGAAGGTGACAGGAGGTGGAGCAAGGGGAGAGGATGGACAAAGGTGGGACAGGAGATAGAGCAAGTGGAGAGGCAGATGCTGGGGAGGGACCAGGAGATGGACCAGGATGGTCCAAAGGGAACAGGAGGATGAAGTAGGGTGCGAAGGGACAGGAAGATGCTGCTGAGGGACAGGAGGACACCAAAGCAGGGACAAGCAGCACCAGGAGGGCTCAGAGGACATCCAGTGGGGGCTGCTCCAGGACCATCTGCAGATGCTCCAGGACCAGGAGAAGGGAAGACCTTAAAGTCAAGGTGCCAGGTCCAGGGTGTCCCCAAGGTGCCACCACCCCCCAGGAGCTGGTGTCCCCCCATGCTCACGTCCACACGCTCGATGTCGCAGAAGTCGGCCCATCGCCGGTCCTTCACCATCTTCTCAATGATGTCGTACTGGCTCCAGTGGTCGAAGACCATCTTGCCATGGTGGTACCCAACTTCCTGCAGGAGGGTGGCCACAGCAGCTCGGTGGCCTGAGGAACCCCAAGTGACAGCCCATGGCCAAGGACACCCAGTTGATGGTCCAGGACACCCAACTGATGGTCCAGGATGCCCAACTGATGGCCCAGGCCACTCAAATGATGGTCCAGGAACCCAACTGATGGTCCAGGACACGCAACTGGTGGTCCAGGCCCCCCAACTGATGGTCCAGGATGCCCAACTGATGGTCCAGGAACCCAACTGATGGTCTAGGAAACCAACTGATGGTCCAGGACACCCAGCTGATGGCCAAGAACATCCAACTGATGGTCCAGGCCCTAGAGCTGATGGTCCAGGCACCCAACTGATGGCCCAGGATGCCCAACTGATGGTCCAGGAACCCAACTGATGGCCCAGAACACCCAGCTGTTGGCCCAGGACACCCAGCTGATGGTCCAGGACATGCAATTGATGGTCCAGGATGCCCAAATGATGGTCCAGGATGCCCAACTGATGGTCCAGGAACCCAACTGATGGCCCAGGACACCCAACTGATGGCCCAGGACACCCAGCTGATGGCCAAGGACATCCAACTGATGGTCCAGGCCCCAGAGCTGATGGTCCAGGCACCCAACTGATGGCCCAGGACACCCAACTGATGGCCCAGGACACCCAGCTGATGGTCCAGGCACCCAACTGATGGCCCAGGCACCCAGATGATGGTCCAGGACACCCAACTGATGGTCCAGGAACCCAATTGATGGCCCAGAACACCCAGCTGTTGGCCCAGGACACCCAGCTGATGGTCCAGAACATGCAATTGATGGTCCAGGATGCCCAACTGATGGCCCAGGCACCCAAATGATGGTCCAGGACACCCAAATGATGGTCCAGGAACCCAACTGATGGCCCAGGACACCCAACTGATGGCCCAGGACACCCAGCTGATGGTCCAGGACACACAACTGGTGGTTCAGGCCCCCCAACTGATGGTCCAGGCACCCCACCCCATGGCTTGGAGCACCCCATTGATGGCCTGAAGCTGGTCCAGGCCACCCCAGTGACCTTCTCCCCCACCAACTCACATAGATCTCATCGAACTTGCCGAAGTCCATGGTCTTGAAGCTGTCGATGGGGGGCCGGATGTACTCGCAGTAGGAGCTGGACTTCACCACCTCGAGCTGCCGCACGCAGGACACGTAGGCCAGGCGGGACTGGATCTCTGCCATGTCAGGCACCTACAAGGGTGAGGAGCTCAGCACCCTGCTCAGCACCATCTCACCAGCATCCCCTGGGCCTCACCTTGAGCCTTCCACCCATCCTCATGGGATCATGGAATGGGTTGGGGTGGAAGAGACCTTAAAGCTCATCCCAACCCCCTGCCATGGGCAGGGACACCTTCCACTAGAGCATGTTGCTCCAAGCTCCTGTGTCCAACCTGGCCTTGAACAGAGATGGTTCATCAAAACCTTCTCCATTCAACCCATTCCAGTGTCCCACCACCCTCAAGGGGAAGAACCTCCTTATCTCCAACCTGAACTTCCCCTGTTGCAGTTTGAACCCATCACCCCTTGTCCTATCGCTCCAGCCCCTGATGAAGGTTCCTCTCCACAACCTTGGAGCCTTCAACCCATCCTCACCTTGACCTTTCCACCCAACCCCACCTTGACCCATCCCACCTCACCTTGACCCTTCCACCCATCATCACCTTGACCTTCTCAGCCCAGGGGTTGAGGCGCTTCCAGAGGAGCCACCAGCCAGACAAAGTGTCCCCATAGTTGCAAAGGTCTGTCTCATCCTGGCTGCCCACGTCGATGGCCACCACGGTCTTGGCCCCCATGCTGCGGGCGATGTCGGCTGTGGGTGGAGGAGAAGAAGTTGGGTCAACGGCGTCATGGTCAACCCCTGCTCGGAGCCAATGGTGAGAGGTGGGCTCATGAGTGGAGCAGGGGAATGGGCAGGAATGGTCCATGAGGCCAAAGCCACGCTGGGGCTCGTGGGGGGACAAGCAGTGTCCCATTGGGTGCCAGAGGTGGTGGTAGGAGCCCACTGGTAGGATGTGCCAATGGGGTAAGGGGAGGGCACAGGCAAGTTGCAGGGTCTGTAGTGGGAAGTGAAGGAGCGTGGAGATGCCCCAGGAGGACACCAGGAGATGATGGGAGGTGGATGGAGACAGTTTGAACATGGAAGAGAGAGGAGATGCTCCAGGAGGACTCCAGGTGCTGAGGCCATCAAGAGATGATGATGGGACATGAAGGAAGGTGGTTTGCACATGAAGGAGGTTGGAGATGCCCCAGAAGGACATCAAGAGATGATGGAAGGTGGATGAAGACAGCTTGAACATGGAGGAGAGTGGAGATGCTCCTGGTGCTGAGGCCATCAAGAGAGGACAATGCAAGATGGAAGGAGGTCGACTGGATACGAAGAGAGATGAAGGTGCTGAGGACATCAAGAGACGATGATGCAGGATGAAGGTGGCTTTGACCAAAGACACCAAAACATGGTGCAGGATGGAGGAAGGTCGCTTGCATGTGAAGGAGGATGACAACGTCCTGGGAGGGCACCCAGTGCCAAGGACACCAGGATGAAGGGAGGATGAACATGGAGATGTTCTGGGCATCAAGGACACCAAGAGATGGTTTGAGATGACAGGTAGTGGCTTGCCTGCAGGAGAGCACCCAGTATCAAAGACACCAAGAGCTGGTAGAAGATACATGGAGGTGTCTTGCAGATGAAAGAGGACGGAGAAGCCCAAGGAGGAGCTGAGAACAGCAAGAGAGGACAACATGAGATGGACAAAGGTGGCTTTGCACATAATAGAGCATGAAGATGCCCTGGGAGGACACCCAATGCTGAGAGCACTGAAGTGGGTGTCAGATGGAGGGAGGTGGCCTGCAGGAGAACAGAGATGCCCTCAGAGCACACCCAGTGCCAAGAAGAGGATGATGCAGGTGGTTGGCATCTAAGGAGCATGAGGATGCTCTGGAAGTGCTGAGGACACTCAAGGATGCTGCAAGACAAAGGGCTGTGTCCTGCATGTGAAGAAACATGAAGATGAGAAGCCACCAGACAGGGAGGACACAAGAGATGATGCAAGACAAAGGGTGGTGGGACATTGGCACAGGGTGCCCAGGGGACCTGTGGCTGCCCCATCCCTGGCAGTGGACGGGGCTTGGAGCAACCTGCTCTGTGGAAGGTGTCCCTGCCCATGGCAGGGGGTTGGAGCTGGAGGAGCTTTAAGGTCCCTTCTAATCCAACCCATTCCATGATTCTGTATCGAGAACACCAAGAGATGCTGCAAGATGGAGGCACATGAAGATGCCAACAATGAAGTCACTGAGAAGATGCACGATCAAGCCAGATGTCCCAAATCCAACCACTGAGAACCCACATCGTGGTGGCCATGTCGCCCCCACCCAACCGCTCACCACCATCTCCAAGGCCAGAGCAGGGTGACGGTGTTGAGCTGCTACTTGCCTGGCAGGTTGTTGATGTAACCACCATCCATCAGTAAGTTGCCATCCTTGGGGTCACAGAGTGGTGGGAGGTACCCAGAAAGGGTCATGCTGGCTCGCACGTAGCGCCAGAGCGAGCCTGCACCAGCAGGAACAAACCCAATGAGCACAACCCACCTGAGACCCCTCCTTGGGGCTGCCCCTCGCCCCTGCCCGTGCCTGGGGACGTCTACAGCCCATGGAGCACCCATGGGTGGTAGAGGAACCCCGCTGCGTGTCCTTGACCTTGGCTGTTGGTAAAGCTCAACTTGGGATGGGATTTGGGTTTGGGAAGTGGGTTCTTGGAGGGGTTGGTGGTCCTGGTGAGGGAGATGCT